GATGGCAATTTGCATATACTCCAGAATGTTATGAAGAGTCATCAGATGAATTGCAATGAATTGCAAAGTCCCTCTTTGCCATGAAAATGAACTTAATCCCCCAAAAACATTTCCACTGCATTTCAGCCCTGCCACAAAAGGACCAGCTGACATCATGTCAGTGATTCTCTCGTTAACACAGGTGAGAGTGTTGACGAGGACAAGGCTGGAGATCACTCTGTCATGCTGATTGATTTAGAATAACAGACTGGAAGCTTTAAAAGGAGGGTGGTGCTTGAAATCATTGTTCTTCCTCTGTTAACCATGGTTACCTGCAAGGAAACACATGCCGTCATCATTGCTTTGCACAAAAAGGGCTTCACAGGCAAGGATATTGCTGCTAGTAAGATTGCACCTAAATCAACCATTTATCGGATCATCAAGAACTTCAAGGAGAGAGGTTCAACTGTTGTGAAGAAGGCTTCAGGGCGCCCAAGAAAGTCCAGCAAGCGCCAGGACCGTCTCCTAAAGTTGATTCAGCTGCGGGATCGGGGCACCACCAGTGCAGAGCTTGCTCAGGAATGGCAGCAGGCAGGTGTGAGTGCATCTGCACGCACAGTGAGTCAAAGACTTTTGGAGGATGGCCTGGTGTCAAGAAGGGCAGCGAGGAAGCCACATCTCTCCAGGAAAAACATCAGGGACAGACTGATATTCTGCAAAAGGTACAGGAATTGGACTGCTGAGGACTGGGGTAAAGTCATTTTCTCTGATGAATCCCCTTTCCGATTGTTTGGGGCATCCGGAACAAAAGCTTGTCCGGAGAAGACAAGGTGAGCGCTACCATCAGTCCTGTGTCATGCCAACAGTAAAGCATCCTGAGACCATTTATGTGTGGGGTTGCTTCTCAGCCAAGGGAGTGGGCTCACTCACAATTTTGCCTAAGAACACAGCCATGAATAAAGAATGGTACCAACACATCCTCCGAGAGCAACTTTTCGCAACCATCCAAGAACAGTTTGGTGACGAACAATGCCTTTTCCAGCATGATGGAGCACCTTGCCATAAGGCAAAAGTGATAACTAAGTGGCTCGGGGAACAAAACATCGACATTTTGGGTCCATGGCCAGGAAACTCCCCAGACCTTAATCCCATTGAGAACTTGTGGTCAATCCTCAAGAGGCGGGTGGACAAACAAAAACCCACGAATTCTGACAAACTCCAAGCATTGATTATGCAAGAATGGGCTGCCATCAGTCAGGATGTGGCCCAGAGGTTAATTGATAGCATGCCAGGGCGGATTGCAGAGGTCTTGAAAAAGAAGGGTCAACATTGCAAATATTTACTCTTTACATAAACTTAATGTAATTGTCAATAAAAGCATTTGACAGTTATGGAATGCTTGTAATTATACTTCAGTATACCATAGTAACATCTGACAAAAATATCTAAAAACACTGACGCAGCAAACTTTTTGAAGACCAATACTTGTGTCATTCTCAAAACTTTTGACCACGACTGTATTTCTCAAAATCTGTAGTAGACAAATCAGTTTAAAATCTATAGGTTTACCAAACCCTTAAGTGATTATCAATTAAGTAATAGTAAAATGTATTTTAACAAATGAGAAGACAATCATATCAAAGTAATTTGAGCATTGCATTGTGAAAAGCAATGACTTTATATGAACATGTATTCCAATGTGAAACATGTATTTCTAGACACTGATTAAGTTTGGTGAAAAAATGACTGTAAGACTTTGTGTGTTTTACTTGGTCAATAGAAAATGTGCTTAGAGTTTTGAAACAATTGCGTTTTTGATTATCTGTTTTGAGTTTTGTACTAAGCATTGTGAAACTGTACCACATACTTCACAAAGTATGTGGTACATTGAAATAAACTATGTTTATTTCAATGTAAACTATGTTGGAAGGTAAAACCAAATCATATATGGATTTGGCTGTAAATACTATATCGTCTTCCTCCTCAATAGGACATAGTGGAAAGAGTCACACTATGTGCTACCATTTGGAATCATAGTGTAGTGTACAATAATACACTGCTGAAATACTTGGGTTATATACAACAATATATTCCACTCATTATCTGAATTTCATTGATACATTGTAAGCTGATTACTTTGTTTAGCAGAGACACAGGCGATACTGTATCAGTTGACAGGTCACGCAGAAATGGCGTACAACACCATGCTACACCAGTATACATTTTTACAGTTGCCAACTGCTTTACAATACCACCACAATACTGCTATTTCTGATGATTTGTCCTACGTACATGTACAGTGCCTTCAGAAAGTATTCATACCACTTGACTTACTCCACATTTTGTTGTGTTACAGCCTGAATTCCAAATGGATTAAATAAATAAAAATCTCACACATCTACACACAATACCCCATAACGACAAAGTGAAAACATGTTTTTAGAAATGTTTGCACATTTATTGAAAATGAAATACAGAAATATCTCATTTACATACGTTTTCACACCCCTGAGTCAATACATGATAGAATCACCTTTGGCAGTGATTACAGCTGTGAGTCTTTCTGGCTAAGTCTCTAAGAGCTTTTGCACACCTGGATTGTACAATATTTGTCCATTATTCTTTAAAAAATGCTCCAAGCTCTGTCAAGTTGGTTGTTGATCATTGCCATTTTAAAGGCGTGCCATAGATTTTCAAGCCGATTTAAGTCAAAACTGTAACTAGGCCACTTAGGAACATTCAATGTCGTCTTGGTAAGCAACTCCAGTGTATTTTTGGCCTTGTGTTTTAGGTAATTGTCCTGCTGAAAGGTGAATTTGTCTCCAAGTGTCTGTTGGAAAGCAGACTGAACTAAGTTTTCCTCTAAGATTTTGCCTCTGCTTAGCTCTATTCCGTTTTGTTTTATGAAGAAAAAAAACTCCCTAGTCCTTGACGATGACAAGCATACCCATGTTGGATTTGCCCCAAACATAAGACTTCATATTAAGGACAAAAAGTTAATTTCTTTCCCACATTCTTTGCAGTATTACTTTAGTGCTTTATTGCAAACAGGAAGCATGTTTTGGAATATTTTTATTCTGTACAGCCTTCCTTCTTTTCACTCTTGTCATTTAGGTTAGTATTGTGGAGTAACTACAATGTTGTTGATCCATCCTCAGTTATCTCCTATCACAGCCATTAAACTCTGTAACTATTTTAAAATCACCATTGGCCTCATGGTGAAATCCCTGAGCAGTTTCCTTCCTCTCCGGCAGCTGAGTAAGGAAGGACGCCTGTATCTTTGTAGTGTCTGGCTGTATTGATACACCATCCAAAGTGTAATTAATAACTGCACCATGCTCAAAGGGATATTCAATGTCTGATTTATTTTAGTCCCATCCACCAATAGGTGTCCGATTGAGGGACCTTACTTATAATTGTATGTGTGGTTTACAGAGATGGGGTAGTGATTTAAAAATCATGTTAAACACTATTATTGCACACAAAGTGAGTCCATGCAACTTATTATGTGACTTGTTAAGCACATTTTTATTCCTGATCTTATTTAGGGTTGCCATAACAAAAGGGTTGAATACTTATTGACTCAAGACATTACCGCTTTTCATTTTTTTATTAATTTGTAAACATTTCTAAAAGCATAATTCAACTTTGACATGATGGGGTATTGTGTGTAGATCAGTGACACAAAATCTCAATTTAATCAATTAAAAATTCAGGCTATAACACAACATAATGTGGAAAAAGTCATGGGGTGTGAACACTTTCTGAAGGCACTGTATATACTGTATAAGCATACTGAAACTGTAAATTTGACATATTTGTCAACATGCTCACAACCTGCCATTGGATACAAATTTACAAAATAATAAGTTGTGTAAGTCAAGTTACAGTCAAGTACTATTTGGAAAAGTATATTAATCACCTACTATACTTTCTATTCAGCATTTCAAAAATAATTTATTGTATATATAAAAATGTATATCTTGTATTTCTTGCTATTGGATTAAATGTTAGTTAAAATGACTAAATGGTGAACCTATTATTATCTGATATATTGGTGACTAAATGTAATATTTTTATAGTATCTCACAGAAAAATTTGGTTTAGCATGAATAATGGGGTGAAAGATCTGCTCCACTCCAATGAATGCACAAACAAAGTTTCTGAACATGAGATAGGGAGCATTACAAGTGTTAGCAGTTTAGAGTTTTGTACTTACAGTTTTCTAAATATACCACTTACATGTTCCAAAGTGATATAATTTTTTTTTAAACTATCCACCTAAAGGTGATTCATTTTTGCATTGGAATTTCAGAAAATGTCAACACAATATCTAACTAATCGTGGAATGACTGTGTTTCACATTATTACTTGCCTGCCAGAGTTGTGATTGGCTGTGATATTCCCCTATTGATTTCTCCCTTCGGGCCGGCAAAATGGGAAAGATGTTTTTACTTTGTGGCTATGTTGTCTAGTGGAAACCGGGGCAAGCGGAAACTTGGAAACTCAGAACCTCCAAGTTAAAATTTGCGTACGTTTTTTTGCGTAGAGCTTCCGATTGGTTGATTCTAATACTTTCCAGGTGGGGAAACTCAGAGCTCATCTTTTTACAACGAGTTTGCAAGTTTAATATTTCAGAGTTGTCTTGAACGCGGCATTTGTTGCATACTGTTTCCCCCTTTTCTCAATGACTGGGCTGCTCCCCTCAGGTCTACATTATAAACTGTTTACTTTCTATTCTTCACTGTGTATGAGTTCATTCTGACCTCTAGATAGCATGATTTTTCATTTTATATTTGGGTTTTCATAGCAACCTAACCTTTTGAGACAAAACCATGTTTTAATTGTACAGTATTGTAATAGTTTTTAGGTTGTTTTATACTGTAGTGACAGTTAGTAATTGGAATAAAGCTGCATTACTGTGTTCCATTTCACTTTCTGTTTATTCATGTAAAAAAATAACCTTGTGTGAAATGGACCAATGGGTGCTAGTGGGTGGAGTTTCTGAGACTGTAAACAAGCCATAATCAAAACAAGTTCTTCATTCTGTGGATGGTGAAGAACAACAGCACTCCTGAAAAGGATTCTGCCTTCTATACTCTCACTGGGTTTTAAGGCATCATGATAGGAAAAAGATGGCTTCACAGACAGTTGGTAAATTGACATTTCTGACATTTACAGCAACAATAACAGCTGTTATATCTGTTTTCTGAAGTGGTATTGCGTCATTAAATAGATACTAGAAGTAGACCAACAAAGAGTGAAAAGTGCATCTTTTGAAGATGTTATTTATCGCAATAAATTATTTTTCTTCACCTGACTGTTATTCATTGTTGCAGAGATACTGAGAGTTGGTGGCAGTTATGGCAGCTTTGGAAGTACCTGCCAAAAAGAGAACAATCACAGAACCTGTTCTTCACAACCTTTCAACAAACCATTAATGAGCTTACACAAGGTAATATAGTCAAATGTTTAGAGAATATCATTATTTTGTCGAAATTCCCTTGAAGTCGGTTGTATTTTAGTTTTAACAGCCAATGTGTCTCAGTGGAATGTGCGTTCCTTCTCAGCTCGGGGTGTAGTCAGCCAAGATTTGATATGCTTTAGCTGCTCAGACATTCCCTCACCCTGTTATTATGTGCTGTGTAGTTTCTGGTAAACAACTCTTACCAGAAACAGGTATAGAGGTTTCAGTTTCAGTTTTGATCAAACAGACAGATATACAGTTGAAGTCGGAGGTTTACATACACCTTAGCCAAATACATTTAAACTTTTTTTTTTAAATCCTAGTAATCCTAGTAAAAATTCCCTGCTTTAGGTCAGTTAGGATCACCACTTTATTTTAAGAATATGAAATATCAGAATAATAGTAGAGAGAATGATTTATTTCAGCTTTTATTTATTTCATCACATTCCCAGTGGGTCAGAAGTTTACATACACTCAATTAGTATTTGGTAGCATTCCCTTTAAATTGTTTAACTTCGATAAAACGTTTCGGGTAGCCTTCCACAAGCTTCCCACAATAAGTTGGGTGAATTTTGGCCCATTCCTCCTGACTGAGCTGGTGTAACTGAGTCAGGTTTGTAGGCCTCCTTGCTCGCACACGCTTTTTCAGTTCTGCCCACAAATGTTCTATAGTATTGAGTTCAGGGCTTTGTGATGGCCACTCCAATACCTTGACTTTGTTGTCCTTAAGCCATTTTGCCACAACTTTGGAAGTATGCTTGAGGTCATTGTCCATTTGGAAGACCCATTTGGGACCAAGCTTTAACTTCCTGACTGATGTCTTGAGATGTTGCTTCAATATATCCACATATTTTTCCTTCAACATGATGCCATCTATTTTGTGAAGTGCACCAGTCCCTCCTGCAGCAAAGCAACCCCACAGCATGATGCTGCCACCCCCGTGCGTCACGGTTGGGATGGTGTTCTTCGGCTTGCAAGCTCCCCCTTTTTCCTCCAAACATAATGATGGTCATTATGGCCAAACAGTTCTATTTTTGTTTCATCAGACCAGAGGACAGTTCTCCAAAAAGTATGATCTTTGTCCCCATGTGCAGTTGCAAACTGTAGTCTGGCTTTTTTATGGCGGTTTTGGAGCAGTGGGTTCTTGCTTGCTGAGCTGCCTTTCAGGTTATGCCGATATAGGACTCGTTTTACTGTGGATATAGATACTTTTGTGCCTGTTTCCTCCAGCATCTTCACAAGGTCCTTTGCTGTTGTTCTGGGAATGATTTGCACTTTTTGCACCAAAGTACATTCATCTCTAGGAGACAGAACGCGTCTCCTTCCTGAGTGGTATGACGGCTGCGTGGTCCCATCGTGTTTATACTTGCGTAGTATTGTTTGTACAGATGAACGTGGTACCTTCAGGGGTTTGGAAATTGCTCCCAAGGATGAACCAGACTTGTGGAGGTCTACCATTTTTTTTCTGAGGTCTTGGCTGATTTCTTTTGATTTTCCCATGATGTCAAGCAAAGAGGCACTGAGTTTGAAGGTAGGCCTTGAAATACATCCACAGGTACACCTCCAATTGACTCAAATTATGTCTATTAGCCTATCAGAAGCTTCTAAAGCCATGACATCATTTTATGGAATTTTCCAAGCTGTTTAAAGTCACAGTCAACTTAGTGTATGTAAACTTCTGACCCACTGGAATTGTGATACAGTGAATTATAAGTGAAATAATCTGTCTGTAAACAATTGTTGGAAAAATTACTTGTGTCATGCACAAAGTAGATGTCCTAACCGACTTGCCAAAATTTGTGGAGTGGTTGAAAAACGAGTTTCAATGACTCCAACCTAAGTGGGGGAAAAAAGTATTTAGTCAGCCACCAATTGTGCAAGTTCTCCCACTTAAAAAGATGAGAGAGGCCTGTAATTTTCATCATATGTACACGTCAACTATGACAGACAAAATGAGAAAAAAAATCCAGAATATCACATTGTAGGATTTTTAATGAATTTATTTGCAAGTTATGGTGGAAAATAAGTATTTGGTCAATAACAAAAGTTTCTCAATACTTTGTTATATACCCTTTGTTGGCAATGACACAGGTCAAACGTTTTCTGTAAGTCTTCACAAGGTTTTCACACACTGTTGCTGGTATTTTGGCCCATTCCTCCATGCAGATCTCCTCTAGAGCAGTGATGTTTTGGGGCTGTCGCTGGGAAACACGGACTTTCAACTCCCTCCAAAGATTTAAATTAACCTTAATATATTGTGAAGGAGCTCCACTATGCAGAATGTTATTTTTTCTATTAGTCAGGACTCAGATTATTCTGGACAGCATTCCAAAATCCAACCAATATTTTCTGAAGCAATCTAAGAAGTAAAACAGGTTATGTGCAAGGCAAGATACAGATAAGCAACTATGACATCTGTTCTTGACAAGAATGCATTGCGATCAAATCAGTCTTTTCAATGCCAGTAATCTATAGTATGAAATGTTATTTGAAATTATTTTCACTTCATTTTCACTCTCAAACCAGCAACGCTCATGTCCATACTTTGTTCTATTCAACAGCTTGCAAAGGGGAAGAAACGCCTCAAGCGTAAAATGCTTGAATTGTTGGCACAAATAAAGGTAAGGTGAATTAAAAACATAGTAGGTCTACTGCTTAGACAAAGTAGACCACATCAGTATAACAATGATGTGGAGTAGACAGCAGCAGTATCACAATGATGTGGAGTAGACAGCAGCAGAATCCTTTCACCAGACAGTTCGTTGTTCCTCTTTCCTTAGGGAACTGTCAAAGAGAAAGAAGATTTCACCTTGGATGAGTCTAAATTAATCATGAGAGAACTTGCTGCTGAACTAAGCAAGGTAGTTCAGGTAAGTCAATCTGTATAGTGAAAATAAAGTATGTGATCATATCTTATCTTACATCTTCATGAGTCATAATAAGTTGTCCTGTACCATTCCTCACAGATCAGCAACACCTCCTTTCTAACCAGAGTGAGTGAGGATGGATCTTGTCAAGAGGAGCGTCAAGACTTTATACTGCAGTGGGCTGAGGAACTGAAACACTCATCACAGACACGACAGGTAAATAATACATACACCATGGGACAGTTACCACAGACACATATTAAGCTTAGTCCTAGACTAAAAATAATTTGGGATGGAGATCCAGGACTAAGCTTATTCTGTGTCCAGGAAACCGCCCTCATATTTTAGAGGTTCACTTGGCGCTAGTCAAACACTACAAGCAGTATAAATACATGTCATATACACTTAGTGTTAACAGCCAGTTGCTGTGGATGAAGTAACATACAGTGTTGACAGCCAGTTGCTGTAGATGAAGTAACATACAGTGTTGACAGCCAGTTGTTGTGGATGAAGTAACATACAGTGTTGACAGCCAGTTGCTGTGGATGAAGTAACATACCGTGTTGACAGCCAGTTGCTGTGGATGAAGTAACATACAGTGTTGACAGCCAGTTGCTGTGGATGAAGTAACATACAGTGTCGATAACCAGTTGCTGTAGATGAAGTAATATACAGTGTTGACAACCAGTTGCTGTAGATGAAGTAATATACAGTGTTGACAACCAGTTGCTGTGGATGAAGTAACATACAGTGTTGACAACCAGTTGCTGTGGATGAAGTAACATACATTGTTGACAGCCAGTTGCTGTGGATGAAGTAACATACAGTGTTGACAGCCAGTTGCTGTGGATGAAGTAACATACAGTGTCGACAACCAGTTGGTCTGGATGAAGTAACATACAGTGTTGACAGTCAGTTGCTCTGGATGAAGTAACATACAGTGTTGACAACCAGTTGCTGTGGATGAAGTAACATACAGTGTTGACAACCAGTTGCTGTGGATGAAGTAACATACAGTGTTGACAACCAGTTGCTCTGGATGAAGTAACACACAGTTTTGACAGCCAGTTGCTCTGGATGAAGTAACATACAGTGTTGACAACCAGTTGCTGTGGATGAAGTAACATACAGTGTTGACAACCAGTTGGTCTGGATGAAGTAACATACAGTGTTGACAGTCAGTTGCTCTGGATGAAGTAACATACAGTGTTGACAACCAGTTGCTGTGGATGAAGTAACATACAGTGTTGACAACCAGTTGCTGTGGATGAAGTAACATACAGTGTTGACAACCAGTTGCTCTGGATGAAGTAACACACAGTGTTGACAGCCAGTTGCTCTGGATGAAGTAACATACAGTGTTGACAACCAGTTGCTCTGGATGAAGTAACATACAGTGTTGACAACCAGTTGGTCTGGATGAAGTAACATACAGTGTTGACAGTCAGTTGCTCTGGATGAAGTAACATACAGTGTTGACAGTCAGTTGCTCTGGATGAAGTAACATACATTGTTGACAGCCAGTTGCTGTGGATGAAGTAACATACAGTGTTGACAGCCAGTTGCTGTGGATGAAGTAACATACAGTGTCGACAACCAGTTGGTCTGGATGAAGTAACATACAGTGTTGACAGTCAGTTGCTCTGGATGAAGTAACATACAGTGTTGACAACCAGTTGCTGTGGATGAAGTAACATACAGTGTTGACAACCAGTTGCTGTGGATGAAGTAACATACAGTGTTGACAACCAGTTGCTCTGGATGAAGTAACACACAGTTTTGACAGCCAGTTGCTCTGGATGAAGTAACATACAGTGTTGACAACCAGTTGCTGTGGATGAAGTAACATACAGTGTTGACAACCAGTTGGTCTGGATGAAGTAACATACAGTGTTGACAGTCAGTTGCTCTGGATGAAGTAACATACAGTGTTGACAACCAGTTGCTGTGGATGAAGTAACATACAGTGTTGACAACCAGTTGCTGTGGATGAAGTAACATACAGTGTTGACAACCAGTTGCTCTGGATGAAGTAACACACAGTGTTGACAGCCAGTTGCTCTGGATGAAGTAACATACAGTGTTGACAACCAGTTGCTCTGGATGAAGTAACATACAGTGTTGACAACCAGTTGGTCTGGATGAAGTAACATACAGTGTTGACAGTCAGTTGCTCTGGATGAAGTAACATACAGTGTTGACAGTCAGTTGCTCTGGATGAAGTAACATACAGTGTTGACAACCAGTTGCTGTAGATGAAGTAATATACAGTGTTGACAACCAGTTGCTGTGGATGAAGTAACACACAGTGTTGACAGCCAGTTGCTCTGGATGAAGTAACATACAGTGTTGCATACAGTGTTGACAACCAGTTGCTGTGGATGAAGTAACATACAGTGTTGACAGCCAGTTGCTGTGGATGAAGTAACATACAGTGTCGACAACCAGTTGGTCTGGATGAAGTAACATACAGTGTTGACAACCAGTTGCTGTGGATGAAGTAACATACAGTGTTGACAACCAGTTGCTCTGGATGAAGTAACACACAGTGTTGACAGCCAGTTGCTCTGGATGAAGTAACATACAGTGTTGACAACCAGTTGCTGTGGATGAAGTAACATACAGTGTTGACAACCAGTTGCTCTGGATGAAGTAACACACAGTGTTGACAGCCAGTTGCTCTGGATGAAGTAACATACAGTGTTGACAACCAGTTGCTCTGGATGAAGTAACACACAGTGTTGACAGCCAGTTGCTCTGGATGAAGTAACATGCAGTGAGCTCCAAAAGTTTTGGGACAGTGACACATTTGTTGTTGTTTTGGCTCTGTACTCCAGCACTTTGGATTTGAAATGATACAATGACTACCATGATTACATATAGTCCTGAATGAATAGTGAATAGTGATAAGTGAGAAAGTTACAGATCCACAAATATCATACTCCCAAGACATGCTAACCTCTCACCATTACAATAACATTGTTAATAAGGTTAGCATTATTGGGGGGGTATATGATATTTGTGTGTCTGTAACTTTCTCACTCATCATTATTCACGATTCATTCAGGACTATCCGTAATCATGGTAGCATCCACATTAATGTAGAAGTGTTTAAAAACATATTATAGTCTTATTTACAATAAAAGTGACTCCAAAATGAAACAATACATTATTTACCATTCCTTTCTATTGGGACAAAATAATCTGAAACACAACCAAAACAGCAAATGCATCCAACAAGTTTGTAGAGTCACAAGCTTGATGTAATCATTGAGTGCTAGGAATATGGGACTTTTGACTACATTAATACACGTAAGTGAATTTGTCCATATACTTTTGATCCCCTAAAATGGGGGGACTATGTACAAAAATATCTAAACGGTTCACCCGTTATGGATGAAAAATACCCTCAAATTAAAGCTGACAGTCTGCACTTTAACCTCAAAGTGCTGGAGTACAGAGCCAAAACAACAACAAAATTGTGACTGTCCCAATACTTTTGGAGCTCACGGAGAGGATTGTAATAAACCACCTGTCTTGCTGTTTACTAGACACCAGCAGGGGAACCCACAAGAGACAGGAGGAGTGACGACCCTCTGGATCAACAGAAACCAGACAAGGAACAGAAACTGAGGGAAGCCAGGAAAGCCCTGTCTGAGTGGGCCTGGACACTCAAGGATATGGAACAGGTGAGAGGAAGACCATAAAACTAAAAGAGAACCCCAAAAAGTAATCTGTAACATTACAATGATACATAATACAAGGAGACCATCCTACAATATCATCATATGTCTCTGTGTCTCCGCAGGACTCAGTGTGTCCGGATGAGGATGTGTGTTCAGTACTGCAGGATCTGGAGAGACAGTGGAAGAGGGGGAAGCTTCCCAACATGCTCCCTGTCATGGACTTCCTCATCTGGAGCATGCTACAGGAACAGCAGGAGGTCAGCCATAAACAAAGACCTATTGAATGTCTCTTTAAGTGACATTTAAATAAGGCTGAACTGTAATATAACATAGCTGTTGTTTTCACAGGGTTCCATTGTAAAGCAGTGGCTCAGAAATAGACAAAGGTTCAGAAGCAGAGGTGAGTGTCTGCTTCCACTGGGTGTGGTTATTAAAGAAGTCAAACAAATAAATAAAGAGAGTCGCACACTCTATATATATTGGGTAAAACACCAACGTTTCGGCATCACTGTACCTTCTTCAGGGTGTTCAACCCAATAAATTACTGGGAGTTTATATATAGAGTGTACGACTCTCTTTATTTGTTTTTATAGCTTACAGTTTATTCGCCGTTAGTCAGCACCTCCACACAAAATAATGTTCTCTGGGTGTGCTCCAGCTCATGCTTTTTATTAGGTTATTAAAGAAGTCAACACAGATTGTATTAATCAGTTTATTTATCTAATATGTTTTGGTTTTCTTCATATTCTTCCCTTAGTGACTCTGAATCGCATTCCTGACTTAAGTACGTCAAATCCCACAGTTTACGTCTGCTTCAAAATAATGTTTTACGTATGTTTTGTAGCTCTTCATTGCTAACGTGATCCTAAATGTTGTGTCTGTTTCATTACAGTTTGGAAATGGATTTCGAAAGCATCAGGTTGGTATGGTTCATTGCCAATGCAAATATTATTCAAATGAGATAACACAGAGAGACTAGTTTCAGTGTTCTGGTATTAATAACAACTTCATTACTTCAATCTCTTTGTAGCTGAGATCACTCTGGATGAACAAACAGCCAACCCAAGTCTCGTACTGTCCCCTGACAGGAAAAGAGTGAAAATGGCCACCATCATTGAGAGTGTCTTCGATCCCTGGTGTGGATACAGCCCTAGTTCCCACAAGTATGATGGCTGGTGGTGTGTGCAGGCAAAAGAGGGCTTTACATCTGGGAGACATTACTGGCAGGTGGGAGTCAGGGGCAAGGCAGAGTGGAGGATAGGGGTGGTTAGAGAGTCAGCACCAAGGAATGGCTTTGCAACTCTGAACACAAAAGCCGGTTACTGGACCTTGCGTCTGCAGCTTGGGGAGCTCATGGCTGTAACTGTACCAGTCATTAAACTGAACCAGTATCCACCCTCTAGGTTAGGGGTGTTGCTAGACATAGAGGGGGGGCAGATATCCTTCTATGATGCAGAGGAAAGACGCCACATTTACACTTTTAATACCAATTTTGATAACTCTGGAAAGATTTACCCTGTGTTTGGAACCATTGAGACAGACAGAGAGCTGGTTATTCTGTAGGCAAAATAACTTGATGCATGCTGTCGGGCTTGATTGCAGTGCATGTAATTAGCTTAGTAACTACCTTATGGACATCTCAATGTATAGTTGCTGACTGTCTCAACTCACAATTCCTTGAGATCACAAAAGGTGTCCCTCAAGAGTCCATTTTAGGGCCTGTATTATTCACACGGTATATAAACAATATTGGTTCCTTAGTAAAAAACTAAGGTACACCTTTATGCTGATTATACTGTGCTGTATGTCTGATCTGCAGATGGCTTTTAATGTCATTTAAAAAAGCACTTGTTGACCTTAAATTGCCACTGAATGCAGATAAAACAAAGTCATGCTATTTTCTAGAGCCCATAACATTGACTCAACAGACTTAAAGAGCGGCACGTTGAATGGAGCGACATTGAGCGAGCCCACTCATTTAAATACCTTGGATCATTTAAAACAATCGTTCAGTCAAGGAATCGTACAGACAACTTTCCTGTCAGTCCTTGACTATGGCGACATTATCTATATGAATGTTGCTGCCACTTCTTTAAAACTTTGATGCTTCTACAAGTAATGTGCTTTATTTTAACGGTTTTATTTTATGATATGTAATAATAATAATAATATGCCACTTAGCAGACGCTTTTATCCAAAGCGACTTACAGTCATGCGTGCATACATTTTTGTGTATGGGTGGTCCTGGGGATCGAACCCACTACCTTGGTGTTACAAGCGCCGTGCTCTACCAGCTGAGCTACATGTACACAGATTAATGAAGTATGGAATCATTGTATATAAACAACCTTCTTTCTTGAAACATGAATTTGTTTGCTGATTTCCTCATACAGAATAAAGAGGACAATGAGCTTAATGGTTATACTTATTGACAAAAACTTTTTTAAAACGTTTTAATTTGTAACTACAATGTTAAATATGTAACTACTCTTTACCTAGAGAGAGCGTGAACATACGTGCAGACATCTCCAGGTAGAGTAAGGCCCTTTGTACACTATCGGAGAGTAACAGTTTGTTGACTATTTTCTCACAGTTGACGGAAAACCATTTACTGCTGCTTTCACATCAAGGAGAGGAACTATGCTATTGCTTGAGTCCACATGACACCGCAAAGAGCTGTTATTACGCAATATCTAGAAATCTATTTGAAACATTAGTAGCTGTTAATGCAGCTTAAAAACAACAGTGTATAGCCTACACTATAGAAAACCACATAGCATTTCCGGTTCTTGCATGCAACAGTGTTTTACATTTTAGGACACTGTGGTTTCTACATGGAACTGCATATCTACATTGAACTGCTTGCAGAGCTAAACTTGTGAAACCTCCAACACCATTGTTCTAAATAGGAATTTTGTTAGTGCATGTAACTCACTACAGTGTACATTTTGACAGCACCCAATTCAGTATTTACAGTTCAGGGCTGACTCAAAGACGCTGCCTTTTGACAACATTGGAAAGAAGCCAAACAGGATGAATGCTGCTTATAGCACGGGCGGCAGGTAGCCTAGCAGTTAAGAACATTGGACGCTGGTTTGAATCCCAGAGCTGGCAAGGTGGAAAAATCTGCCTTTCTATCGTTGAGCAAGGCAGTTAACCCCCAACAACAACTGGTCCCTGGGCGCCAATGACATGGACGTCGATTAAGGCAGACCCCGCACCTCTCGAATTCAGGGTTAAATGCGGAAGACACATTTTGGTTAAATGTATTCAGTTGTGCAACTGACTAGGTTTCCCCTTCCCCTTTCTCCATAAAACAATAACTGAAAGCCAGGAAATCAGTTATGCTTCTTTCCTGTAAACCAAGGCAACTTCAGAGAACTATATAATTCCTAATGATGAGACCAGCAAACAGCCCGGGTCTGGTTTGAAAGCTTCCCCTACCTAGACATTCTTTGAATGGTATAGAACAGGTCTGGGGTTGTGTGATAACAATGGCAGCAATGCGGATAGCCTCATTGTTGAGATTTTCTCCGATCATGACAGCTGAGCAGACACATCTTACAAGTTCCCTGGAGCATTATATGACGCAAATATGTTACCAGAGAAGCTGTTTCGAAACATCTTTGACACTCACTCCCGTTCTCTAGAATTGTTTTTACTGCAGAGTGAAAAATAGGTCAGGGATTGCTTTCGGTATATGAAGTGGCCAGAGGATGGCCCTATAAATCCCAGTCTGTGAGAGCTATAACAATTTCTATCGGAAATGTCTGTGTTAGGTGAAATGTGTGCATGTGCCAAACTGTGGAGAGAGATCATCTATCTGTATGATAATGCCATTTCACCACAGGAGACTCACTGAATATTTGGGTTGTATGAGGTGATGGGTAAACAAACAAAAAAACAATGCACAAAATATGACAAATCTTTCCTAAAATCCACTCCACTAACCAACAAGGCATTTTCTTTATTTTCACACCTCCTAATGTATTTAATCTACAGTCACACTCATCCACCACCATGTCCTGGTAGTGGCGTAGGACTACATTGTTGTTGTTGTCGTAGTAGAGCATGGAGACAGGTGATAGGCGGATGGCTACTCAGCAGGGCTGGGGCGTGCCGCAGGGGTCCAGGGAGTGTACCAGCGTCTGCAGGATGGCACGGTTGCTGCCGTTCAGGCTCTCGCTCAACGGGAATGGGCACTCTCCGTGGCAGTAGTCCTGCCAGCCCACGTCCTTGAAGTCGATGTAGAGGCGGCTCGGCTTGCACACGTTGATGGGCGTCACCGGGAGGTAGACGACGCTCCTCTTCCGCCGAGAGTGGCACTGGAGCGGGTTCAGGTATATGGGCCACCAGTGAGGCCTGGAACTCTGGGAGGGTTACTGTTGGCCCGAACAGGAGAGTGTTTCCCGTGTGGTGGGCCATGATGGTGTCCCTAGCCAGGGTGTGGGCGGGTTGAGGCTACAGCTCCAGCACCAGGCTGTAGTTCCTCCCTGGTTTAATTAACCCATTGAATGACAGATTCACTACATGGAAAAACAGATAGTCCCCCCAAAAAATCTAAAGGAAGTTTGTTCTGAAGTGTCTGTCCTATATCTGAGACATTTTAGATCAGGAAACATTTTATATATATCTTTTTTTATATGTATTTAACCCCTTATTTTTGGCACTAAGCTGTCTCCATATAGATTTCCATAAAAAATGTTTAACTGGTACTGGGGGACCTTCAGAAGAGTCTCACCTTTCCACAGAGGGGTCATATTAGTGTGTAGCACAAACTGTCCGGACGTTACAGACAAGAGTCCTAAGACGCTTGTGGGGGTCGTAGAGCAAAAAAACATTGTGTTCGTGAGAGTCTCATCTTTCCACTGAGTGGTCATAATAGTTTGTAGGCTAAACCATTTGGACGCTACAGACAATTGTGTGAGAATACCGATTTTTGGGACGTCTCAATGTCTGACAAACACCGCTCTAGCTCTGTCACCTTTCACCGCAGATGTGGAAGTGTGACATCGGCGGATCCAATGCCACAAAAAACAGATATTTCTAGTTTACACTGACAGATTTTGATGGCGGGGGCCGTCGAAATTGACTGTAGGGGGGTTTAAGCCAGTTCTCAGCCAAGGCTGTGAGGTCCAGGGTGAGGGATCCGGGCTCTGGTTCCAGCTGCACAGAGTGGGACAGCACCAGCCTGGGGTTGGGCTCGTGGGTCGCTCCCCTCAGGGTCGCACGCAGCACCTTATAGAGGGACACACTGAGAGCCTGTGGGCCCAGGAGGAACCTTGGTGTATGGAACACGTCCCACTGGAACTTGATTTCCAGCTGAGCCAGAGAGAGCTGCTACAAGGGCTGCAGAACAGACACGTTGAAGAACAGATGTTTCTCCACACAGCCGTGACCCTTCCGCTCCAGCCTGATACCAGTCTGCCTGCAGAGAACAGACAAAACAAGACATATTAGGTTCACACTCTAGTAGGGCCCAGGTTTCAATTTACAATTTAATTTGCAACGTCACAGTCAACATAGGCCTTTATCTGTAATAAACAAATCCAACGCTTTGTCCCCTCATTTCTTTTTAATTGGTATATTTTGCCCCAAAAACAATAGGAGTGAACTAACTCAGAGGCAATTGTTTGAAAAAAATTAATGGTATATCTTGAATATCAAACTTGTTTAAAATGGATTGTGTATGTATGCCTATGTGGCTCAATAATGACTTGACCTCAAATTGTTATTCTGATAATATTTTAAACCAGACATTCCTCTTTCATCTTAAATGGGAATGAGCACTTCAAACAACAACAAAGCAGTTAGGTAAACAGCTGAGGGATGGGGCTGGAGAAATGTAACCACTCAAATTCATAGACAGACCTATGGATGCAATGACTGACCATCCATAAAATATTGTTTTAACCATGTTTTAAGCGTTACAATGTTCGTTTACAATTACATTGTTTACAATTGAGTATGCTACAACAACACACTGGGCACAGATGTCAATTCAATGTCTATTCCACTTTGGTTCAACATAACTTTATTGAAATGGCATGGAAACAATGTTGATTCAACCAGTGTGTGCCCAGTGGGAAGCTTCTTCTGGGAGTTCTGATGGGGTAAGACAGTAGAACTAAGCTCATGATGCATTTAGCCTGTAAATTATATACATGTTAGTAGTTTAAAGAGCCACTGAACACGCCGTTTGGCACGTCTTTTTCTGTTGCTCATGAGATTTCAGTCTTGGAGGTGTTTCCTGACCGATTCCGCGTTTGGTTAATGATGTTTGTCCCACATGAGACACTAGACGCAGAAGCCTATTTCACTTCCTCAAAATCCCCAGAATGAATGTAAAATAACTGAAGAAATCTGTAATTCATGTTGACATTTTTGCAGATTATGTTTTAGTTGCTCAATTTTACATCTAACTAAGCTGTTTGGTGCAGTATTTCTCAAGTTCAAAAATACGCGACGTGTTGTCTTATGTAAACAAAGTCGGAGCTGCTGGGCAGGTCTGTCTTACTGTCTATGCTATTGGATAGAGGGCAATCACCGCAGCTGTTCACCCCATATTACTGGGCAAATGGACATTGTCAAATCAAAAACCCAACCTTCATTTACCCATTGTGATGCACTGATGTTCCAAACTCTGTTTTAGACAAGACTGACTTTATGACCAAAATTATCCTATTTACAGTTTGTAGTCAATTTTGACACTAGAATAACTGTGTCTGACTCGAATCGATGCCACATAGTCCATTTTCAAACGGATTTGTTGCTTTTTAAAGGCAGTCGCTCTTTAAATGTCCAAAAATGGATGTAGCAATCGCAGATTGCCTTTTTAAAGGTGCCCCTTTAAAGAATACCCGCCAGTGTTGTGATTGGCTGTGATATTCACTTATTGATTTCTCCCACTGGGCCAGCAAAATTGGAAAACTGTTTTGACTTTGTGCCTGTGTTATCTAGTGGGCAAGCAGCCAATGTAGAAACCTCTGTCATTTCCTGGTTGCTAAAATTCTACACTGTTCGCTCAATTTCTGTTTATGAGAGAAAACAAGCACTGACGTGTAAGAAATCATTTTACCATCAGTGAAATATCTTTTCAATAACAAAAAGGATCGTTTTTACAGCTGAAGCTGGTGGACCAAAACAGAAAGTAAAAGCCTCAAGTGCAAGTCCTTGCCATGTTACGGGGAAATGGGATGCGGGGAGGGGTGGCATAAGTTTTCCATGTAGCCTTGTTGTGTTGCAATTCACCTAGCTTCCACATAGGAGAGAAATTCTGTGTAGCACCTTTAACTTCCCAATTTCACAACATACTTTTGACCACTAGATGGCAGTCACTGACCTTTTACAAAGAAAGGGATAGGCTGTATTCTGGACTGTTTTGTTTCCTTAACTTGTAGCCTGGATTTAGAGCATGCAAACATCACAAGACCCAAATGTGCTCAAGACATTGTGGCATGTACCATGACCAAGGATAGAGTACTATACACAACTGGCCCCTATGGCTAAAGGGGATATGTATACCATTAAAGGGGCAATCAGCAGTTGCTACATGCATTTTTTGACATACATTTACCAATTAATTCTTGAAGAATATAAATTACGACTCATGAGCTTAGTTCAACTGTCGTACCCCATCAGGGGCCTGTTGCACAAAACTAGGATAAGGGATTAAGCCAGGATATCTTGGTGATCCTGGCTCAATTGATCCGTAATCCGGTTGCACTAAAGATGGATAGGGGGCAGGAGGATATGTTATGGTATAAATTACCATGGAGATTTATTCTGTGGAGCTAGCCTGCTCCAGACCAGGCTAAATTCCAGGATCTATTTAATCTCATCCCTAATGTCAGTCAGCAGTCACCACAAATGGAAACCAATAGTTATTTCACTGCTCACTATACATTGTTATCACATATAACTAGACCCACTGTCATTATTTAAACGTTTGTGATCATTAATTTCAATGATTTTGGATAAAAAATGATTTTTAGATGATGTTGCTATCATTAGATAATTTACAGTTTCCCATAGACTATAAGGCTATATATAAAATGATAGAATATTAGGGCCACAGAGGGGAAAAAAACACAAGTCATAATATTGTAACCAGTTGTTTTAAAGGAGGACAGTTGTTAAAATGACAGATGTGGGGCATTTCGTGAAATTGTACTTCAGTATGGTTTCATAAACAAAGACATGCTGATGTGCCAGAATATTAAGTGTCACATTGTCATAAGTATCAAAACTGTAAAAACAATATGTAGCTTTTCTGCAGAAAGAACCAGCCTCATAAATTTATGACTTTATCCTTTTTCTTCAGTGTGGCCCTAGTACTCTGTCATATAAACAAATACACATTCCATATGAATATAAAAACACAATGTGTAACATTATGTTCCTTTATTGAATAAGGACAAAACAAAGCAGGTAAACCATCAGCTCCTTTCGAAACTGAAGTCACAGTGACTCTACAAGATGGAAAGCACAGAATCCAAGCATATTATACAAAATGATACATACACATTCAAAGGTCTGTATATAACACACCCTGCATGTCTGCACACTAAAATAAATGCAGGACAAATCCATACACATCAACTGAACAGACAAATGAATGGATGCAGTAGCCTCCCTGCAGCCTTGTATTACACACAGTATACCGCACAAACATCATAAGAGGCCAAATTCGTAAAAAAACGAACCCAAAAAAACCCAAATTCCTCTGCCACCGCAGGACATATTTAACCAAAATTGAAAGCACACATACTAACTAAAATAATTCAACACATATTGGTCCCTCAGCAGCCGACCACTGTCGTCATCAGGGAAGATTGCCGGATTGTCCCAGTCCATGGCTGGTGGCACTCTGGGGGCCCTCTCCTTCCTCAGGCAGGCCACATTGTGGAGGACAGCACAAGCCACAGTAATATCACATGCCCTAACAGGGCTGACCCTTAATTTGTGAAGGCAGTGAAAGCGTGCCTTCAGGAGGCCAAAGGTCATTTCAACTCTGGCCCTGGTCCTGGCATGGGCATGGTTGTAGGCCTGCTGTGCTTCCTGGGGGTCTGTGAAAGGTGTCAGGAGAAAAGGCTGGCAGCCATACCCCCTGTCTCCCAGCAACACACCAGAGAATTCACCTGTCAACACAAAATCTCATCATTACTACCTCATAAACACAGTGATATTCTTGACACAGCCATGATGGTTATAAATAGGGGTTGTGTGGCTTACCTTGTGATAGGCACTGATAGATTTCAGAGGCCCGAAAGATTCTGGAGTCATGGACTGAGCCAGGCCATTTTGCCACAACATTGCTGATCACACAGTCAGCATTGCAGACCATCTGAAATCATAAGATGAGGAATATTACACCAATCAATGCACATCACTGGCAATGCAGAGTGTTCGTCAATGGACAATATCAAAAAGTTATGTTCACCTGAACATTAATGCTGTGAAAGGATTTCCTATTCACAAAATCGGCCTCATGGGCACCTGAGGGGGCTTTTATCCTTATGTGTGTGCAGTCCACTGCACCAATGACATTGGGGAAACCTGTCACACAAAGTAATGAGTATCCTACTATGTGTTAACAGTTGTCCTGTAATTTGTAGATCCTCTTACCTGCAATCCTATAGAACTCCTCTTTGATGTCACAGAGTCTTCTGTGGCCAGGGAAGGAGATGAAGACATCTGCTAATGCTTTGATAGCCAGACACACACTCCTTATTGTGCGGCAAATTGTGGCCTTGTTCAGCTGTTCTGCATCCCCCACTGAGTACAGGAAGGCTCCACTAGCAAAAAAGCGCAAGGCCACACAAACCATTTGCTCCACACTCAGTGCATGGCTCCGTGCAGTGCGGTGCTTAATCCTGGGACCCAGTAGTCTGCATAGATACCTGATGCCATCTGCAGAAAACCTGTATCTTTCATATAGATGGTCATCAGGGAAGGCCAGTGGGTCCAACCGGTCCCTGAAGACCCTTTCTCGCCTGAAGGCTCTCCTCAGCACAAGTGCTTCTTCATCCACCACATCTCGCACGAATGGGCATGCCATTGTCAGAGCAGAAAGGAACACACAATTTTGGGCCTTCATATAGGCTAGTGGCCACACCTGGTGCTGGGGGGGTGGGCAAAAGAGGGCGATGCCTTATAACGATGACTTGGTTGTACTGATTGCTGGGAAAATAAAAAAAACCTTAGAAAGATGCCACCGTCCTGTGTGCTCACAATAAGAGCTCATATGTCATGGCTCACTTGACTTTACGAGAATATACCTAATTTTTATTTTGAGCTGTGTCATCTTCTTGGAGCTGGGGGAGGAAAGAAAAATAATGATTAATACATTTGTGTTACAGTTAGCATACAGTGTACATTGAAGGCATATCTCACCTCCCTCTCAAGTTTTTTTATTTCAAGGTCCA